GTGATTGAGAGTGGCTGTATTCAAGTTGGTTTTCATGCCTGTTTTGCAAAATGCAATCACTTTTATTCCGTTCCAAAAAGTAGTTCCAACTTTTCAGGCAATACATCAGAGCTGACTGGGAAGGGTCAAGAAAATTCTTAACTTTATTGGTGTGGGTAGCATTGGGACAGGTCTGCCATGAAAGTATGAGGACCTTATTCCCAAAGTTCTGGATGCTACCTGCAATACAGGCATGCCTAAACAGGCAAAAATATGGCATGGGGGGGGTCACTTGAATATCTTCGAACTCAGTGCTATAGGAAGGATTTCAGCAATACAGAATTTCAGAAGGAAAAGCCAATGGAGTGCATGCTAAACTAAACACAGACTTGAAGAAGAACACTGGATGAAGCGTCTGACCAATCCAGTGTGTTGTGATGATTCTTCAAAGGCCAGCAAATGCCTGTTATAAGGCTGTTTCCTCCACTCTGGGAGAGGAAGCCTCACATTTATCAGTCGGTTGTACCAAGTGAGGTATAGATTGTATGTCTTAAGTGAAGAAGCCTGCCTATCAGAAAGAGAAGTGTTCTATTGTCATACAGAGTAGATATGGAATAATATGAATGTAGTTAGGCTTGTTTTAGTTCTGATTTATTTAGATCAAATGCTAGGTGCAGAAATCAAGCAAGCATATACAAGCTTGAAAATGGCAGTGGAATGAAAAGTTTGGGATGCTAAATTGTATTCTAAAAGCTATGCTCCATTGTACAAGTGAAGAACAACATTCAGTCAGCCTGGCTCTTCAGTTATGATTTATGCAGGAGAAATCTGGAACGAAATAACAGTGACTCAGAATTACAGGAACAGCTGTGCCAAGAACTCTTGTATAGGGACAAGACAGCTGAGATGGATTGTAAAGCTGGCTGGAGACTTATTTGAGGAAAAACAAAGGAAATAATGACTGCATGCTCTGAAGAAAATGCAAATAAAAAGGCTTTTTGCGACCTATAATTAACTGGATGGAAGGAGGCATGATTTAAAGTGTTTGTGGTTTGCAGGAGTTAAATTTAAATGTGGTCTGAGTTTACAGTCAAAGAAAGGAGTCTCCCAGTTCTTGTTGTCAGCTGCAAGTATAAAACCAAAGTGACCTGTTTTGTTGTGCTAGCAGTAGTCCATCGTTTTGACACCACAGCAAATCTGATCAGTTTTGCCAAGGTCCAGGTTCTTCCTACAAGTATGGTGATGTGGCCTAACAGTGATGATGCGTTAGTCGCTGCTTAAAATGTATAGGTGAACTGTGTTTTTGCAGAGTTACCTTCATAATATAGTAACATTATCTCAAACTGTTTCTGTGAATTAGATGTTTGAGGCATCTTCCAACTGGAAAATCTGAGCACGGTGATGTTGAGAGTTGCCCTCAGGAATTTTCAACCATTGTGCATTTGCCTGCCCCATAACTTGTCACTCATTCTGTAAAATTTTTCACTTGTTATTTTTCATCTAAGAATGAGGTTGGGGTTTTTTCAGTCTACATGAGGAGCAGGCTGATTAAATTTATGGAGTATCCAATGATTTTCTCTTTGCCAAGAACTTGGGCTTCACATGTTGTTAACTTTTGTTGTTGTTCCCTCTTGCTAATATTGACTCCAGCTGTTTAAAAAAGTACCTTCAAAACCTGTTCAGCAAGCAGTACTTGTGGATTTAATGAATATCATGGCTTGTGCAGTCAGTCAAATTCTTTTTCCAGGATCAAATGCAGGTGATGGATTGCACTTGTGTTTCTGCATGTACTGTTCTAGCATGAAATCGGAACAAACTCTAGGTTGGAGTTATAGCTTTCATCCAGTGATATGTTTAAGTTGGACAAACCAGGTGTTGATTTTGGTTAAGATGAGAGAAAATTTTTTTCTAACCTATAGTTGATGTGTTTCTTCCCCCTTGGGATTTTTTTGACACAGCTGGCACGAGCCACAGTACGTGATCCCAAAACCGGTGTCCTTACAGTGGCTAGCTACAGGGTATCAAAAAGGTAAGCATAGAGAAGAGTTTAGCTTTAAGGTTTTTGTGCTTAACAGCTGTCGTCTGCTACCTACAGCTGAAAACTTGAAGTGCTTTGCATGTAGCAAAAGCTTGCACAACGACTGCATGGTAAATGGCTCTTTTAGCCATCTGACAGAGGGCAGAAGAATCCTCTGCCTTGGGAAATGGGTTGTTGTGGTTGGTATTCCAAAATAACATGTTTCAATTCTTCCCTTATCCTAGCTCATGGTTGGAGGAAGATGATGATCCTGTTGTGGCCAAGGTGAACCAACGAATGCAGCAGATCACAGGGTTAACAGTAAAAACAGCCGAACTATTGCAGGTTGGTACACTTGTCTTGTCAGACTTCATCCTGGTAAAATTAGCTGCTGGTCAGGGTGGTCTGGTGCTTATGCAGGTATAAACATAGGCTGGCTCTTATCCAGTCCCTCTTAGGGGTTCTGTTGTCTGCTGACTAAGCACATGGAATAGGTAGGGTGTTTATGGTGTGTAGGGTGTTCCTAGCTGCTGCTAGCTGTAAGGACCTGGCAGGTAGATGTTTTCCCTTTGTGTGCCAGGCAGAGAAGGGTGGAGATATCAAAGAAATAGAAGATAACTTTGGCAGGAATCTGTGATTTACCAGTTTGTTTTGAGGGCAATGCCTGCCACTTATTTTCAAGTCTGCAAAAGTTGAACCTCCTTCCTAGTTGAACCTTTCAAAGACCCAAATATTTTTCATAGCCCTGCTATATTCTCATATGAAGTCTGATCCTTGGCTGTCTGTTGGGGAGAGGAAGGAGAGTAGGAGTGGTACAGGACTGCCAGGATAGCTGTACCTTAGCCTGTTTACTAGTTCTTTTCCTCCATGGTCCTTGAATTCCTGTTTTAGAGCCTGATGGAAGTGCTGTTGATTACTGGCTATGCGCAGATATCAGGGAATTGTGTAGTGGTCTTGGAGACATGTTAAGTGCAGCCTCAGAGTAACTAGATCATAAGTTATGTGATCTTCAGATAAAGTAAGCAAAGTGGTGCTTTTAAGCTACTTTGAGCTTTCTGTGTTCCTGGATGGGCATGTCTATGTAACAGATCATACATGTGTGACACAGAATCTAATTCTAGGCTGTGTATCTCCTAGTTTGGACACACATACTGGAGAACTACACACATTCAGCTCCCTCCTCTTCAGAGGAGGGAGCAAGAGTGTGGTAAAACTATTGCTGCTAATTCATGTTAAACAAGCTGTTTTAAGTGGTAAGTAGAGTGCTGCCATTGAGAAACATTTGGTACTGAGAAATAATTCTCAGCAAAACCCTTAAACTATGAAAGGGAAACTGTGTACCTCATTTCTGGCAGTCTAAAGAGAAATTAAGTGTGCTATAGATAACAATCTTGCCACAAAGTGCTGTTTCTCAAAGCTTGTTTGGATTTCTAAGAGCAAATGCTATCTGCTACAGCAGTCACTTGCAGTTCAATGGACGTTTATGCTTCCTTCTTCCATGCTGTAGGTTGCCAACTATGGAATGGGAGGGCAATATGAGCCACACTTCGATTTTTCTAGGGTAAGATCACACTTTCAATTATTTCTTAGTGGGGTGGGGAGGGGGGAGCAGTTTGTTTTGAGAGAAAACTGCTGAAACTGTTTTCTATTAAAACATTTAATGTATAGCCCTGTTGCATGGATGGATGATGACTTTTGAAAAGCCTTTGCGCTGCCTTCTCTGATGCTGAAAGTTCAAGAGAACAATGAACAAATCTGCCTGCTTATCTCTGTCACCTTGGTTCCTTGCACAATATAGAGACACTAAAAGATAGTCATGCAGCACTCGAATATGCTCTTTCCATTACTTTATTTGGAAACTGAGGTCTGCAAGCCCTGGGTTGTGAGTCTGCGTTGTTCCATTAGGTTTCCGAGTTCAGCAAGGCTGTCTTGAGTCCTCCTCTGGTGGATATTTTAAAGCACTTTGTGGGAACTGGCTGAGGAGCAGACATCCTCCTTCCAGAAAAGTAGCCATTAAGGAAATCTTCATGTGTCGTAGAGCCCTTCTGGCAAAACCCTTAGTGTGGCTGCAGCTATGGGGTCCGAAGGGGGGTTGTTGGGTCGGTGTTCAGGAGGGCAGTGCTACAGTGAGCAGGAGAACTTGCAGCTGGTTGGTGCCAGATCCGCAGTAGGCACTAGAGGGCTCTACCTGGCAGATAACAGCTCTGGTTTGCTGCAAGTGGGGAGAAAAGAGGAACAGAAATTCTTAATTGTCACCCTGAAACAGTTTATGAACATGCTAATCATACTGAAGAGCTATGGTGACTGGTAATTTCAAATATAAAAACCATCTGATGCCTTGGTTTCCAAGTAGAACTGTGGCATTTCAATGGAATCTGGCTTAATTCAGGCTGTCCCAGTGGTTTTACCTGGTAGAAGGGATTGCTACAGCCAGAGCGCAACCCAATAATTGAGTGTAGAATTGAAGCCACCCAACTTAGCACTGTTTAAAAAAAAAAAACCAAAAACAAAAAAATCCTGAACTTCAACACTGTGGAAGCTCATATTCGTTAGCTTTGGCCTGTTGAGAGAATTTTCCTGTTAACTTGAAGACTGCTTTGTTTCCCAAGTCAAGCAAATGCTCTTAAATTCTCTTCAAAGCTTTTGAACTCGAGGACCTCAGCCATCAAATTGGCCAGCGTGGACTTTACTTTTGGATTAGGCAGCTGGGGCAGAGCTCCACTTGGAACATAACCTTGGCTGCATCATCAGTTAAGGCAAGGCAATTACAGAATTTGCCATAGTTTTGGACTGGTCCTCCAGGCTCTCTGTGCATCACAGATTTCTGTATTGAAATACAGAGATACTGCTGTGTCTCCCCATCTCCTGATCAGCCTTGCAGCTTTTTGTTCCCTTGCAGTTCTCAAATAGGGACACATTAATAGTTGCATATTACAATTTTGAGATTTTATTGGTTGCTCAAAACTTAGAGAAATCTTTTGATATTGAAGTTCAGAAACGCATGGCTGGACCTGGGTTTGGCAGTGGTGGCAGAAACCAGGAAATCCCCTATATCTCAATGCTCTTATGTTGGCTCTTAGATGGAATTTGCAGATGCAGATGCAAAAGTCTGATTTTTTTTTTTATGAACCCATTTCAGGAAAGATCTTTTATTTCTTGAAATATGCTTTGAGTAAATTGAACTCTAACATAGTCTTAGAGATGGTGGCTGTGGTTTTTCTTGCTGTTTGTTTTTTCAAGTACTGATTTTTTGCTTTTCTTTAAATGTTGAAGATTACTGTTCTTGTGTAGAAGAACGCACCTTAATGTCTCCTGGCAGAAATTACTTCCTGACTATTAGCAACGTAAATAAACTTTTAATTGCATTTTTTTTGAAGGGAGGAGAGACACATTGGTATTCTAGATGTTCTTTCCGCTTCTAAACTGGCACCAACGTGGTCTCATACTTCAACAAATGAAACTCAATGTTTCCTACAGAGTAAAGACAATTTGATCTTTTTGATGTGGTCCTTAATCCTAGACAGGCAACCACCTGAAAGAAGTTCATTATTGCTATTCTGCAATTTTGCCTGCTGGCAAAAAATGCATTTTCTCGTGACAGTATTTCTTTGAGTCACTACTACATTTAAGACCATCTATTGTGTTATCTAAAGCCCACTGAAGATGAGCTTTTTCATATTCACCTCAGTTGTTGACTTTGGATCAGTGTCCAGTACAGTAACAGCCTGTTGTTCACTTTAACTTTACTTGGATAACATCTGTGCCACAGGCCCTGAAAACATTGCTTCTACTCTGCCCTAAGAATTGCTTCAGTGCTACTTCTCCTTATAGCATCTGAGTGCTATGTGCATGCATTTATGCACCCTGGCTGCAATTTGTAATGGCTTTAACATTGCCCTGTATCAATTGTCCCCTTTTTATTCCAACTCTTTAAATTGGGCTTAAGGATCTCTCTGCAGAGCTACACATATGTAACACTAGTGTGAGCCTGTTTGGAACTTGGGTTAAAGTTGTTGTCTGTTACAGCGACCCTTTGACAGCACACTCAAATCGGAAGGAAATAGGCTAGCGACGTTTCTTAACTATGTAAGTACCTCTGTTTGTCTGCTGTTTGTGAGCTTGAAGTTTGCAGTTATTCTCATTTAATTTTATAGAAAGATGAGCCAGATGCTTTCAAGCGGTTAGGGACTGGAAATCGTGTGGCCACTTTTTTAAACTATGTAAGTATGATGATCCTTTATGCATTGAGTGTAACTTCAGCAGCATCTTGTTTACAGCTTGTGCAGTTGGTTATTTGTAGAGATTCCCTGGCATCTGGAAGTAGGGATTTCATTATTCTTGCAGCATCAGGTGCTGTCCCATCTGAGTTGATAGAGTTCTGGTGGTATTTAACCTCAGAGCAGAAAATTTGAATATAGGGCCCAGCTTCCCCTTTTGGCCACTCAACTATGAAATCTTTGACTTCATTGGATTCCTGTTGAGAGAGGATAATTTGGCTTATTTCTCAAAGGTGAGTACTTGAGGTACTCCTCGTGTGGTACACTGTTTAAGAACTTGACTATCAGCTGTTTACTGTGAGACAGTCATGTTCTTCCACCACTGTTTGACAGCACTTGATGTTGTGGTCTGTCAGCCTCCATTTTAGCTGTTTGTCAAAGCTAGAGTTACTCTGGCATAGCTGTTGCTTCAGCAAATGGAGGAGACATAGCTAATAAACTCAGTGCAACTGGGTTACAAATGCAGAATTGAAAAGATTCATTAGTTGCATGCATTGTACAGCCTACAGACCATGTACACTGGAATCATAAACATAACTGCCACTGATACTAGTGGCCTAATGTTTTCACAGTAGTCTTCTGACAATACTTTATCTATCAACTTATACTTACTATAGCAGTAATTAGGATCACCAAATCTACTACACTTAACTTTTGAGTGATACAATTTCAAATTTAAAGTTGTGATGAAATATTTATGGCTGAGCTGGTATTTTGAGTGTGAAATGCAGCTCAAAGCAGAACTAGAAATATTTTCGACTTGATATGGCAGGGGAGGAAATAATCTCTGAAACAAGAATTGGAATAAGATAAGTAGTTGTGAAATAGTCTGCTGCTAAGAGGCTTTAATTTTAAATTGTCTCGATCTGTATTTTGTTTGCTTCTCAGACTTTTGGACAAGCCTTGATTTAGAGTGAATGATATGTACCTTATTCTCTGCCAGTTGTACATGGTCAAAGGTGATTTACCCTTGTATGTCCCATGTAGAGCGTACCACACATATACCAACACCCTTACTAAAAAGAGTGGTTGTGTTGCTAAGATGTAGGTATTAACTTGCAAAGTTGCATGCACATGCTTTCTAGTTGGAAGGGGCAAAAACCTGTGCACCTATGGCATCTTATGCCCTTTTATTGTAGGTACCAAGCAGGAGGACACCAGAGTGGTAATAACATCTGCTTTAAACAGAAATCCAAGTTACAATAGAGAATGTGGGGACTTGGGGAGTGTATTAATAGTAGTTCTGCTGTTTAAATTTGGTGGGAGCTGGATCTGACTCATTTGTTTCTTTTAATTAGAATCTGATCACAACCTCACTGAAATCAGTGGAAAGACTTTCTATTTTTAATGGGAGTGTTTCCAGGAGCTTCAGTGGGTTTTAGATCAAGTCTAGAATTATAGTGAACTCATCATTACTGATGAATTCAATAGGGTTAAATTCATTCCACCGCAGAAGGGCAAAGCATAAAGATGTATGCTTTTCTTTTGAGTCATATAGCTGTATGTAGTAAAGCTTGAGATGCATAAAGCACTTGAAGTGGCATAACGTCACTGGTGAACAGCATAGAAACAGTGCGGAAAGTGAGGTTTTCTAATAGTTTGTATAGTTTTTGAAGTGGTTGACCAAGATGCATAAACTAAATTATGAAAATCAGTTCCAAAGACATGGTTTCAATTTATGAGGAAACATGTGGTTTAACATTGTTTTCCTAATTGGATCATAAACTGGAATGAAATTCTTGAAACTGACTTACTCTGAAGTCCTCTCCCTTGTTCTAGAGTACTAGCTTATTAACACTGCAGGTACACAACTTCTTATGGCTAATTGTTTGTGCAATAAATTATATATAATCTAGACGAAGTGCTGAACAAAAGCCTTCAGCTGAAATAAAAGCCTTCAATAGCAGGTACTGTTACTTTTGCAGTTCGTGCTAGTTGAAGTGCATCCTTTCCTCATCAGTGCCTCTCGTAGAGGTGCAAGCAGAAATCTCTCTGTTAGGGCTTGGGGCACTTTAGTTTGTGGGACTGCATGTACAAAAAGCGTTGTAAATGGACAGAGTTTGTGGACTTTGTTTTCCCAGATGAGTGATGTAGAAGCTGGAGGAGCTACAGTTTTCCCAGATTTTGGGGCAGCAATATGGCCCAAGAAGGTAAAGTCTGTGTCTTGCTTGATTTCTCCTCTCTCCTGTTACTGTCTCTTCCTTAGTACAGTCCTGCACCCATTTAAAAGTCAGCTAATGTGACTAAGTGCTGTTCCTTGCTGTGTATCAAGGCAGCTGAAGCTGATCTTGTAGACTGCAGGGCTGCTTCCTTTGTTTTGCAGTGTATAATGTGAACAGTTTCTGTGTAGAGCTGTTATTAACAAAAAAACTTGTGTTGAGGTAGAACTCCTCTCTACTCTGAACATTGCTAAATTAATAGAGTGGGACTAAGGGGATTTTCTTCCATGTGCTGTCAGTGGTGGCCTATGTTAAAGTGCTTCATAAGAGCCTGCAGCTGAATTCATAGGCATTCCCCCTTCCCCCTTACTGTAACCTCAATAATTATATTGACTAGGTTCTGACTAATCCAGATCTGATTTCACTTTTCAGGGAACAGCAGTGTTTTGGTACAATCTTTTCAGAAGTGGTGAGGGTGATTATAGAACAAGGCATGCAGCTTGCCCAGTACTAGTAGGGTGTAAATGGGGTAAGTAATACTCCTTTAGGAACAAATCCTGAAGGAAGGCTCATGTGTATGCAAAGCTGGTGATATACTGAACCCTTATAACAGCATTTAATAACCTGGGTGTTGCTGTTTTAATTACTGGAGCCGTTTGGCCGTAAGGAAAACTCCCACCATCAATATCATGTAGTATTAAGCAGCTACATTGTTCAGCTGTAGCTTTTCTAGTGAGTTTTTGTGTCAATGACAGCACAAAGTGTGTAAAAAATGTCACTGGGTTTGTGTAGTGTATCAGCATCAGGATGACTTGAATTATCACTTGACTAGAATCAGGTCTGTTCCCACAAAGATTTGTGCATAGCTTTAACTGCAAAAGGAGGAGAGCTCCTTGTAAGGTAAATGTGAATGTCTGGATACTGGGAATTTCTGCTAAATGCTGAAAGCTTCTCAAGGTTCATGTCATCCATTCCCATACCCACCTCTCCCAGCCTCCAAGGTATTCCCCTGGAGTGCCAGAGCAGACTGATCTATAAATGATACCAGACCCAGAATACAGTGCTCTGTTACTGTTGGCCCCAGAATTGTGCAATTGGAAAGATCCTTTCTTTCCCAGTCCTTTGCATGTTCCTATGTCTTTCCCATTGGATGGGTAGAGAAGTATAAGCAGGGATCCTCAGATTGAGAGATGAGATTTTACTTGAAGTAACCGTCTGGGTTGTGGTGATACATGCACTGGGTACATGGTGGTAGCTAATTTCAGTAACTAATTTCACGTCCTTGTTCCACAGTTTCAAACAAATGGTTTCACGAAAGAGGAAATGAATTCTTAAGACCTTGTGGGAGAACAGAGGTTGACTGAAACCCAACCTGCTGCAGGCCATTGTTTCTCTGTCTCCTTTTCTACTGTTGTTTGTTCCAGTTCATTTCTAAGAAATGATCCATCTTTTTCTCCAAGAGTCCTGGCACTTTACCAAAAAAGGACAACAAATTATGTAACACCTGTGAAAGAAAGTAAATGGCGTTATACACACACTTGTGTTTTGGTTGCTGTTATTTCCATGTTTCCCCCTGCCCCTGCCATCCTCCTTTGACCTGCCTTCCGCCCTCCCAACTTTCTCTGTACTAGTGGTGCAAACAGTGCTGTGGGTGATTCAGTATGTTTGGGTGACTGGTCTTGTGCCTTTTGTACCTCGGAAGATTTAGATGATAAATATTTCTTTGAACCAAAGGGTTTTTTTAAAGTTTTGTGTACATGTTGATTTTATTGTATTTCTATGGATCACAAGTTTTGAAACAAAAATAAATGTTCTTGCCATAAAGTGATTCTCTATTCTGTGTCCTTAAGAGGTATCTCAGTGCTTGGTTTTAGGGAGCAGTGGGCCTTTACTTTTTCCTTTGTTGAGGGCTTGTTGCTTTGTTGCCCTTTTTCTGTAGAAAATACATCATGGTTTTGGACAGTGTTTTATTTGCTGCTCCAGCACATGACGCAGAACTGTTGCACCTTCTACTGAAGCTGGAAAGGTTTAATTTGTGTACTGAAACTATCATGTATCCTGGGAACAGGCAGGCTGCACATTTTGGGCCAATGGCAACTGTCATCTCAGTAGTATTACACTTATGAGAAGCTTTTCCCTGTGATGTTAACTTTTCTCTTGTGGGATTCTATCTACTTTTGATGCAAGCAGTTACAAAAATCTGAAGCCTTTCAAGACTTTTAACAGTCTTGACAATTCTTGATTCTAAAAGTAGGCATCTTTGCTGATGAAACACTGCGTTCTTACCACAGGAACATCTGATCTGGCAGAGCTTAACACCTGCTGGAGGTGGTAAAATGGCTTGCAAGCAAATCTTAATCTACTTTTGTAGACTGGAGCAGGGTTTTGACTTGCCCTTCAGACAGGCTGGGAATAATCATGCCCTTTGGGAACAAGGATTCGGATTCTTCTTTGCCTTTTGCTTTGTTAGCATGTGTGTAATGGCCACAAGCCAACACATGGAGGACAGTGTTGTCCACAATAGAAAGGAAATCCCATTTCTGAATTATAATTCAGAAGAAATGACAGTTAATTACTTAAAAAAAAAAGCAAAGTTATGGAGTAATAGGCAAATGTTTCGAAATGTAAAAACTTGCTGTTAGTACCAGACTGTTGCATTGATATGCCACTGTGCAGGGTGGATTAACTTCAGATCTCTCACTGGCCATTTCTGGTATGGGCATGACTTCACGGGAATATGGATGACTGCCAAGAATGGTAATGGTTTTACAACCATAATTTACTGCTTAAAGACTAGCTTGGGCAATTGTTAATATACCAACATATGAAACTGGCTCGAGAAAGTGAAAGAAATTTCAATTACACTGAAACATCCAGTTGCAGTCATGATTGTCATATGACAAACATTGGTTTCCTTTGTGCTTCTCCGTTGCCCTCCGTTGTGCAAAGACTGAATGAGCTGGAATGAGGTAATGCTTAAAACCACTGTCAGGCAGGATTAGAAGCAATGCACCTGCTGTCCTCTTAGGAAAGACTTGTGGAACAGAAGGGTTTTATATGTTAGGTATAACATGTCATCAATTGCTTTATTACCAATAGAATAAATGTGATTTAGCAATATATATTCATGTGCCCCTGAATCTTACATGTGAGGAATTTATGAACTTAATGGTTATTGCTTTGTTTAGTCATTTAGAGGCAGCATGTAAGTGCTTGTATTCACTAAAGTTTTGATTTTTCTGTTAAACATACACAACTGGTTGAAGAGAGAGGTCTTGGTTTGCCCAGGCAGAGACTTGTTGAGCTCCATTTGTTAATGATACTGAAATGAGAGGAGCATTTAGTCTTGTAAATAAGCTTTGTGTGAACAGTTATAGCAGGTAGCTATAGGAATTGCAAGATTTTTTCCTAAAAGCTTTCATGACTTAGCACAGCATAGCTTGATAGTTGCTCTCTAATCTCTCAGAGCACTCCTTTGCTTGCCATGGATGTTGTGGTTGTTGGCTGGCTGTTCAGAATATTTCATTGTTGACCTCTAGTGTTCTTAGTAAAATCTCTCAGCACAATATAAACTTAGGAAATAAGGAGTTTTGCTTTATAACAAAGCATTCAACATATGACAGCCTCACAGATGTGAAGAAAAACTGATGATGAGCCAAACCCACAATCTCTGGTTGGAACTCTTTGGATTTCAGGGAAAGGAAGAGGAATCTACTTAGACTTTCTGTCAACGTGGTATGTTGACAGATAAAGTTCACAGCAGGACTTTGGCCAAAAGTCTGCACATCCCACTTCTGAAATAGTGTAGTTGGCTGGGAAATACCATTAACTATGTTATGCTGAACTTTCTAAGCTAATTTTACTTGCTTGTTTTCTCTGGGAAAAACTCTATCCTTTTCTCTGAGTTGTCTTCCACCTTGCTTCAGTCTGCCCCTGAAGTAGGATGTGATGAGTGTGGATGCAGAACTGCTCGAATGCTAAGCTTCCTTTTGTGCTGTGTGCAGGATTCGCTTACTGCTAATCTGATCTGAAGAATAATAGCTGTTTTAGAGAAAAGAGCATATGTGACTCGTGGGCATTCAGTAACCTCCCAGGCATGTTTGTATAGCTTGGCAGATTATATTCCCTATTCCGTCTCCTATTGTTCCAGAAGATGAACAGAACATGTCAATTAGCCTAAAATTAAGCCTAAGGGATAGTTTTTAGACCTAAAAGAAGATTCATATGCTGGAACAAATAAGCCTTCCTCCATCTAGGCATAGGGAGCTTCTGCCGCTGTATCACTGGTATGGTAAGTACTTAAGTCTTGTTTAGACTGAAATGTTTTTTCTCCTGACATACTGCTGACTCTTCTTTATTTCACTTTAAGTACTTAGTACCGATGTTTATATGCACTACAAAGGCTTACTGTGGACAAGTGGCTGCTAGACACTTTGAAGTGCTTTGGGACCCTTCAGAGAGGTCTTCAAGTCACATCTGTTAGCATTAGCTTGCTGATATGGTCTTTAAGGCGCTGCTCTGTGTAACAGGTAATGATGAAAGCAGGTACCGTGTGAACTCTCATGGAAAGATGGTCTCTTATTGTGGCTTATATAGTCATAAGAAGAACAACCACCCCCAGGCCATGCCAGTAATCCACATCCATTTTGAGCATGTGGTTTCTTAACCCCTGGCCTGAATGCTGCTGTGTGGACACATGCTGTGTCACTGAGCAATTATGCAGCCCTCCAGCTGGGTTAGGAAATCACCTAAAGCATAAATGTTCAGCTGCGCAGACTCAGTGAAGTACTTATCTTTTCTGCATTAGAAGTTACTTCTTTTTGCTGTTACAGTGGAAAAACGTTAAAATCATCTATCTAATCACCTTAGAGGGAAAAACTGGCACCCAGACTAAAATGTGTAGTGTAAGTGGAGGAAGGGTTTGGCTGTGATGGACAAGGGAAGCCATGTGAGCTATGGCAGGGAGTAATGGGGGTGTTCTGCTGGCAGGGGGACCATGTTTATATTATACAATAGTTGTGTACCTCAGCTGAGCTGTAAAATCCCTAATGTGAGAAGAGGAAGGGTCTTTTTTCAGTCATGCCAAGTTTTATCTGAGATGAGGATGGGGGTGTGTGTGTAGATAAAAGGCAGTGTAGGGTATAGCTGTCCCCCAAGCCTCTTCCTTCTGTTCTTCCTGTAACTAGTGATGATGCTGGGGTATGGTTCAGCATAGCATGTGCTCCTTTGGCCCACATCAGAAGAATTCCTGTCAGGGACTCTGAAAAGGGCCAAAACCCAACACCTGTGAGCTGTAGGTGATGGGAATTCAAAGAGACCAATTTCACATTTAGTCCTCTGCAGGGAAAAGACTACATAGACTGTGTGTGTTGAGGATGTGTTTATTTAACCAGAGGTCAGCACTTGTCCTCTGTAGTGATTCAGATAATCCCTTCCGAAATGCGCATGTGGTTACTGCCTCTGTGCTGCCCTTGGGGGTGGTTGTCCCCTGTCCCTCTGAGGTGGAGGTGAACCAGAGAAGGAGGATGGTTCCAATTAAGTGCTTCCAGACCGGTGCAGCCCCAGGAACCCTTGTATTTGATCTAATTCCAGCTTCCTGACTCCTGTTTTGGTCTCCCTTCTCCCTCTTGTCTACAACATCACTTTAACTCCAGAGAGGCATCTGTGTGGCTCTGCCAGCCTTATACTGCCAGCAGCACAAGGGCAAAGGTGGATACCTAATCTTCCACATACTTTGCAGTGATACGCAGTGCGCAGGTCAGGGTCTCTCTGGGGACTGTCATGGGACGTGCTGCCCAGAAAGCAAGCATGTTGTTCTGGTGTCTTTGGACAAGAGTGTGAAGATTATAAAAAATAATAGTAGTGCTAAGATATGGTTAACCCATGTGTACCTTGCACCTCAGTGATGTACGTGGATGGCTACCTGATGGCTCTCATGTCCCATAGCAAACAATAGGTTTTCAATAATTGTAGGGTAACCCTGGCTTGGCTATGAGTTTTGATCATCCATAGCTGGAAAGCGTTCATGCGTTTACCTGCTGTGTGAAGAGAGTGAGTAAAGCACATTAAGGAAGAATAATGAAAGTGAAAATTTCCCAAAGAGCTGTGGGAGAGGTGCTGGATATCTTGTGAAGACACAAGGCTAGCCCCAATGCTTTGCACGTACCCTCTGGGATGCTTGTGCAGGTGAGAGGAGAATCTTGCCTACCTGCTGCGGTGCTGTTTGGAAGCTGACCTTTCAGCAAAGCCAGGCAGTCCACACCCCAGAACTTACCTCTGCTCGCCGTCTTGCACACAGAATCACCACAAAGGCTTTGTTTGCAAAGCCCTGGGAGAAACGGCCTCCTAGGCGTTCTCCAGCTTTCAGAGACTGCCTTTGGCTCGAGCATACACTTTAGGATGTTTCTTTTGAAATTTCTAGTGAGTCCTTGGAAAGAAAGTCAAGGCTAAAACCAAGCTGCTCACTTGATGTTATACATCAACTGGGTCAAAACTCACTACACAGCTGAAGAATTATTTTTCCTTGAAATCTGGTTTTCTCCTAGGCTCCAAGGGCTCACAATTGCATCAGCAACTTATATGGGAAACCGGGGTCCTGGTGACCTGAGCTCTCCTCGCAGCGGTGTGTGGGCAGGCGTAACCAGAGCATGAACCAGCTCTCTGATGGGAGGAAGGAGGTGGTTGCAGTTTTAGTTTCCAGCTGCTGGGGCAGGTGGGCAGTAGCTGCAGCAGGGATGTGATAAGGGCTGCAGGATGGGGGTGGGCAGCCCCCTGGCCACAGCTCACATCTCCGATTAAACTCTTGCCCGCAGCGTGCTCT